TACAAAAGTACTTCAAAGTTGATAATGCCGCAGGGAAAGAAAGCAGAGAAGTTGTCCAACACAAAAAGAGACGAAACAAGAGACAAAAATCAAATACCACGGATCTGGGTTTGGAAGACTGAAGCTATAAAGATACTTTTGAAACAGAGAGATTTGAATATGGGCTGTGTAATAAACGACATTCCTGAAATATTGGTCATCTTCTTAGGTGTGGTCATCATATGGTGATTATGCAGGAGACACTTGGTTACATATTTAGGGGTGAAATATCTCTACTAACTTAGGGGTGATATTCCTACTAATTTTTAAGTAGATCAGAAAAAACTGCATGTATACAGAATAAAGCAAATGGAGGGAAATATTAACTTGGGAATCTAGGTGAAGGATGTGTATGTTTTTCTTGCACTGTTCTTTCAACTCTTTGGTGGATTTGAAGAGTTTTCAAAAAGAAGGAAGGTGAGAGCACGTGGGCAATGCATGAGGCGCAGGCAAGTGGGCCTAGGGAACGTGCCTGTGACCAATCCCGCACGCTCAGACCTCGTCCACTGTGAGATCCAAAAGCAACAGGGGAAACAGACACTTCAGCCAAATCGATTGCTTGAGGACGCAAAGTTTTGGAATTTTTTTTTGTAATCACGTGGACTAAGTTGGAGAGTTCATGGTTTGATTGACCTTTAGGGAAAAATTTGACAAAAGAAGAAAGTTAACTATCCTGTTTCTAAAATCCCATTTTCTCAGCTCTATTCAGGCAAAGGTCCCACGGCTTCATTTTAAATCATCCTGAGGTACCACTAAATTAAGACTTTCTGGAGGGGAAAAAAAAAATAAAGAAGAAGATGTGGACTCCTGGTGTCCCAGCCAAGGCACGAGGAGCCGTGGCTCGTGGCTAGCAATCCCCTCCCGTTCTGCGTGGGGGCCGCCTGGGGAGAGCCGCCGCCTTTCTCCCTTTCAGAACCAGTGATCACTCTCACAACTCACCTTTTGGAGAAATTGAGGTTTGACCTGCAAAACAGGAGAATCGGATGTTCATTAAAACGTTCTTGCGTGACAAAAAGCACATGCGAAGTTTTGCTTCAGGAGAATGGCTTGCCTGTCCTTAGATTTTCCTTTCTTGGGTCTAACTTCTTCCTGACTCAGCCTGACTCCATCTAGTGTTACTTTTGGAAACTTGAAGTGTGCCTCCCTTCTCTTCAACAATCCCTGTTTGCAGGAGGAGCTCTGGTGTGATCTGTGCCAAGAACAGCTCCCCGCACGTGCTGGGGGGCTAAATGCCGGGGGTGGGGGGTGGGAGGGCTCCCACCCAGCCGCCCGCCGTGCCCGTGCCCTGCATCTCTCCCTTCCCTCCCTCCAGCCACCTGCTTTCCTCCTGCTCCCTGCCCGTGTTCCCTTTCTGGGACTTCACTTTCACCATGGTTGTCTGTGAGTGACCCACGCAACCACCCCATCCGGATGGACGATGGAAATTGCCTCCTCTGGTTCTGATGTTTCAAAAGAATTCAGAACTTCCAAACGCACACAAAATCGGGACATGTTCTGACATGCTTATACATGGGAACATAAATCCACAGCCACTGTTGCTTCAACAATGCTTTTAAAGTGGTCGGTTGTACTGCACACAGCGGCATCTCCACACGCGCGTGCACACACACACACGTGTGTGTCTGTCACTTGCTACAAACTATCACAGCTTCTCCATTCCCCCCACCCCCCAAAACACATGCACAGGATTGGAAATTAGGATTTGGGAACTCTTCCTTTTTTTTGAATTCCATAACTAAGATAGCCCTGACACAGTGTCTGCAGAGACTTCTGGGGGCCACTGGAGTTTCCAAGACAAAGTACCCTAACTCCAAGTGCCCTTCCATGTGTGGGGGTGGTTTGGCCAAGGTAGCACGCCCAGCCCACACCCAGGTGGTGAGATCGCTATGACCACTGATTGGTGACAGAGGGCCACAGCCTGCCGCTAAAGTCTGTAGCCACGGGCGCAGGGTGCCTCCGCCACCCAGCAGAGGGCCCCGGAGGCCATGAGGTGGGTAGTCTTCACCATCGCAGACATCCCCCATCTACGCAGAACTGACTCCCATCTTGTACTCCCCACCACAGAGACCAGCTGGACCCCCAAAAGGCAATGCAGGCTCTAGGTCTGGGGTTCATCTATTCATTTCCAGGTCCCCTCTTCCTGCTCATCAGGAGTTAATCCTTCTCATCCTACCAGACTCAGACCATGGCCTCCCATAGCCCCCTCTGCCCAAAGCCCTGTTTGAACCCCTGATGAAGGTCAGGCTGCCTTGATTCTATAGTGGGAGAGTCTGAGTCAGCACCCAGCCCAGAGTAGTAGGAGTGCTGCCCCGGGTGTCCTCCTGGCAAGGGGACCCAGCTGCAGCCTCAGTGGAACCTAGCGCCATGCCAATGCCCCAAGGGCTGCCAGGAGACAGAGCTCCCCAGGCGAGAAGGGAAAGAGAGGGCCGGTAGGAGCCAGCAACTTGGAATTCGACTTTCCCCTGTAAGTGGTCTCACGGATTTGGTGGCACTTGAGAGCCGTTTTGCATGTTTAGCATGTTTCTTCTATAAAGACGAATGGGACAACTTAGCCAGTGTGGGTCTGGGTGTGACACATGGTGTTGTGTTCCCTTGCCTGTAAATGCCCCCAATTCCACAACACGTTTCCAAAAGCTCCCCGGGACGGGTCACCCAACCCTCCCCTGCGCGAGAACCCCAGGTGCAGAGGAGGTGACATTGCCAGCAAGAGGAGAACTGTGTGGCCACGGAGGGGCCTGGAGAGCACTGTCTCACGGCCCCACTAACCCTAGGCTGGCCGCATGCTCCAGTTTTCCTAGAACTATCCAGGTTTACACCCAGATCCTAACACGGTTATTAGCAATGCCTCTTCACTCTCCCAAGGTCCTGGTTTGGATGATAAGGAAAATGGTCACCATAACTACACTTCTCTCCCCCGTCCAAGCCCTTTGTGGGGGGGCCAAACAGCGTGGGCTGGGTGGGGACTGGGGAAGACGGAACAGAGAGAGACAGTGAGAGTCAGAGGAGAAGAGGGGCCATGCTTGCGGGCAGCGCTGGTGAAACACTCTTCCGTAAGGGTCCGGAAACTAGAATATCCGAAGGAGGGGAGATCCTCAGGAAAGTGGACTTCTCGAGAAAATCTGTTTCCAGTTCAGACCCGGGCATCACCCTGATGACAGCGTGCCATGCATCTGTCTCTCTCTTCCCTCTCACGTCCACCCCTCCTCCCATACACACGCCATAACACTTACTGAGCGCCAGGCTCTGGGGAAGAACCGGAGGGGAGCCCAGGTCCCCTCTAATACCCACCACCCCACCCAGCCCAGACCTCTGTCTGCATGCCAGCCCTTCTTGAGCAACCCCTCTACATGGAGATTTCCAGAAGCCTCAGGTTCACTGTGTTTAAAAAAGGAGTCCCCATCTCAGCCCCAAGTCCATTGCCCAAGCCTGCTCCACCACCTACTTCCCAAGGGCACCGCCCCCCTGGGGCCTCTCCACCCCCACAAACGCTGTACTGTTCTGGATTCTTCCGTCTTGGTGGCTGCACATTCGCTCAGCACCCACTGCCTCAGTATCACTCCGATCCTTGCCCAGCAGGGCTTTGCAGCAGATCTGAAGCCCTCAAAGGGCTTCCCAGCAGGTGTCCCTGTCCCCAGCGCCCTCCCCGCCCAACCCCCCATGCTACTACAGCGGAAATGCTATTCCATCCCTCTCCTGCCCAGAATCCATCAGGGATTGAGCAGAAGTTTCAGGAGAGGGTGCAGACTCCTTCACTTAGCATGTAAGACCTTGAGTGAAACCACCCCTCTCTCCAACCGTTTCTCTGCAGATCTTCGTGTGAAGCATTGGCTCCTGTCACACAGAACACTTGTTCCCTGGGTGTACACACTGACACACCTCGGCGTGCCTTCTGCCTGTGTACACTTCTCTTGCTTCCCCCGGGGAAACCTCTTCTCATCCCTCCGTGTGCAATCCCAGTGCTGCCTGCACCCCTAGACGTCCTGCTTCCCAGCTGGACCCCTCTGCATCCCCCAGGCACAAGGCAACGCATGCTTAGCTGTGTCACAGCAGCCCCCTGGCCCCAACACCCTGCAACGAGCACCCAGAATGTGCCCGTGTCCCCTGCAGACGGAAAGGTTGCCTGTCTTCCCTTATTCCTCAGCACCTAGCCCATGCCTGAACGCCCATTCATTCATTCATTCAACACATACACAAGTACCCGCTCTGTTCCAGGCATGGTGCTAAATGCTAGGGCTACAAAGATGAAGAGAAAGACCCCACCCTCAAGGACCTTACACTTCAGGGGGAAAACCATCAAAAGAAATAGACGAAGAAATATATCACATAATGTCAGTGAAAGGGAAGTAATAAGAAAAATAAAGCTAGGTGAGGGAAAGATAATGATCAGGGGAAAGGGTTTCTATTTTAAACAGGCCACCCAAAATGAAATGGTGGCCTTGAAGCAGAGATACGAAGGAAATGAAGGGGAAAGTTTACAGCTATCTGGGAGAAGAGCATTCCATGTAATAGAAAACAGCAAGTGCAAAGGTCCTGAGGCAGGACTGTCCTCAGAGGACATAGTCTCTGTGAAGAAGAGCAGTGTGGCTCATGGCAGCAGGGAAGCCAAGTAACCTGGAGCAGGCCATATGGGTTTCCCAAGTAGGTCATGGCAAGGGCTAGGGACCTCATTCTGAGTTCTGGGGGGAATGTACTGAGGGGTTCTGTGTGGAAGGTGGGGCAGAATGTAACAGAGTATGCAGAGGCAAGCTCAAGCCAACCCCGTTTGGCTACTGTACCTTGTGGCCCCCCATTCTCATGACTTTTGCCCACTGAAGCAAAGAAGGGAAGAAGGGGCATGGGGTACATTCTAGTCTCCTAGGAAGCATTTTGGAGTGGAGAGAAGAGCTGGGATGACAGGCAAAGAAGCACAATGAATAAAACAGGAGGGAAAATGATACCCCGCACTTACCACGATAGTGACCTTACCTTGGGACTCTCTTCTTTAGTGTGACGGTGTCTAAAGAGAGAAAGCAGGGCATTAGGAGGGGGACACTGTGATCGGTGGCATGGCTCACTCAGTGTCAGGCGAGCAGGAGTGAGGCAGAGCCAACCTGACTCGGGCAGCTCTGAAAGGCTCCCTGGGTTGGGGCCACTGGGGGTGGTGGTCTTGGGCTGAGTACTCTTCATCCTTCTCCTTTGGCTCTGTTGGAGCTTCTCTATCCAGGTCCCATCACTGAGCCCCCCTTAGCTGGGCCCTTAACTGAACCTTCCCTGGAGCCTTGCTACCCCCATCACTCCTCATCATCCCCCTTCGCTTGCTGCTCCCGGACCCTCTTGGTCTAAAGGGATCTAGCACATCTCCCACTATGTGATGAAGAGGCTGTTTCTTCTCCCTTCCTAATCATAGGGATACAAAAATAATGGCAAGTAAACACCTATGACCAGTTAAACCCCTTGTGCAGTCGAGCATGCTGGCATCCCAGGAAGCCCTGGAGGGCTGTGGTTCCTCCCCCTGGCCCAGACTCCCCCTTCTGCATATCTTTGCGGATAATAATCACATTTTCCAGAGACACAGTGAGGCTCCTTCCTCCTCATCCTCTGGAAAATGTCCTGGAAAACTGCATGATGATCCCATTAAGCAGGCTGAAAGGACTGGGAATGATTTTTGCAAGTGCCATCTTGAGAGAAAGGGGATGCGAATCAGTGTTGTATTTTGCTATCACAACTCAAAAACTGACTCCTGGGTCTGTGGGTTGAGCTTCCCAGCAGGTGCCACAAGGACACTGAGAACCACGCCAGGGTTCACATCAGCCCAGCCCTGTTTGGACCAAGAGGACACAGCACGGGTCCGAGTAGGACCTGCCCAGTTTATGAAAAAACAAACAAACAAACAAACAAACAAAAAACTCAGCAGCACGTCCGCCACCCTCTCAGCCTCATCATCTCCTGGGATCCATTTTATCTGGTCACATTTTTGGATACGGAAATAGACATTTCTGTCCGAAGCCTGCTCACCTCTATTCCCCCCACCCTTCTCCAAGAAATCTGATTCTTAGAAATGGAAAAGTACAGAGAGAGAGAGAAGTGGGGAGGGGGAGAGATGGACAGAGACACAGAGAGGTCACTGCGTTTCTTTTCAACCCAGTCTGTCAGTCTTTCTCTAGCGAAGTTTTGGAGGGGCTCTCAGGGCCTCAAGCTGCGGGGGCAGATCCTGGCCTGGGCGGGGCAGATCCGGGCCGGAGGTCGCTGCTCCCTTACCATTGAGGCCTGGGTTTGTGCTTCTCAAGTCTGAGGAGTAGATATCAAACAAATGTTTCCTGATCATGCAGATCTTCAGGACCAGGAAGACAGCTGATATGGCGACGCCCAGAGCCGTCCCGATGACGGCGTACTTGATGTCTGCAGGGCAAGGAGGAATTGACCAATGGGTGTCCATCAGGCACCACCCTGCAAAGGTCTTTCTTCTACAGATCCCTTCACATTCAGGGTAAAGTCCAAAGTCACCCGAAAACTCCACATTCCAATCGGCTGAAGCCCAGGGCCACATCCGCCCCCCCGCCCCTTACCCACCCCCCCATCCCCTCCTCCTGGAACCCCATCCCGCTCTCTTCAGCCGTGGGAGTCATTCCCCAGCGGCTGATGGCTCCCTTCTCCGGCCTCCCCTAGCCCTACCTCACTTGCCTTGCGTTAATTCATTTATCGAGCACGTGTTAATTGGCTGCCTGCTCTGTGGTGAGCATGGGAGGCAAAGGAAAAGATGTGACTCCGTCTTGAGGGGCCTGCAGTCAGCGGGGGTGGATGGGAGCTCGCCCTAACGCCAGGGTAACGGGCTGGTCTGGGCTGGCGTGGAAGCCGAGAGCCTTCCCGGAGGAAAAGGGGTGAAGATTCTAGATCACAGTCCGCAGACCGCACTGTGCCTGCTGAGGGGAGCCCCTGAGGTGGAGAGGAGCTAGGACTGTGCAGGTCGAGGGAGGAGAGGGAGGCATGGCAGCATGCAGGGCGCTGTGGGGACAGATGTGGAAGTGAGTGCAGCCCCTGTTCTGTGATGACTGGCAGGAAACCAGCCACGCTCCCAGCACACCCCACCCCTGCCCCTTCTGCCCCTTCAGCCCGGCACAAAGAGGAAGCTGGGCAGCCACCTACCGATTTCCGCCCCAGCAGACTTGCCCGTTGCTAACACTGGAGCTCCTCCAACATCTGCAAAGAAAGAAAACCCAGAGTCTGGTTAGAACCAAACTGGTGGCCGTGATCAGACCAGGGGTCGAGGGCCAAAGCCCTATCCCCAACCCCTGTGTCCCACCGGTCCGGGAAGCCCTGGCACAGGTACCTCTGCTGCTTTGCGTCTGGCCTCAGGAACACAGAGGCGGGCTGCTGGTTGCCATGGAGCGTCCTGGAGCCTGGCAGGGACGTCAGCGCCCTCCTCCCACCCCATGCCGGGAGCGCGGTTCCATTGAGCTCCGTTCAGCCGGCTCTTTCACATGGCGTCCCAGACCCACACTCTGACCCCTGCCTGCTTCTTTAGCCCCTTCACGAAGCCACTCATCCCAGCCAGACCGCACTGCTTCTAGTTCCCCACCCAGGCTGGGGGCTCTGCTGCCTCTGGGCCCTTCCCTCTGCCCGGCCCCATCTTCTCGCCTCTCCTCCTTCCCCTCATCTCGGTTCCCATGTTGCTTCCTCCTGAGCCCCCACGCCTGGCTCAGCTGTGTGCTCCATGGGGGCTGTTCTCAGCCACCGTAAATGACCCCACCGTTTATTCAACGATGTTACAGAGCACTGCTGTGTGCCGGGCACCCTCCGTCCTAAGAGCTTCTCGGCTATGAATCCACTGGCTGCACCTTCTCGCCAGTAACCCCTTTGTGCTGTCCGTGCCCTGTGGAATGTTCTACCCCAGCATTTGACACAGCACCTGGCACGAAGGAGGCATTAACAGACGTTTGATGAATGAATGGTGGTGATAGATCACACTGCAGAGATGCCTCACGCTTCCGGCCAGAGCTTGAAAGCTTCTATCAGGAGACGGGGCTCAGGCTGGGGCCACGGTCCCTGCAGACCGGCCCTCAAAGACCCACGGCAGAGCTGTAGGCCTTGCAGAGGAAGGCGTCCAGTAATTGGCCACTTACTTCGAGGCGATACCGATGTGGCACTTGCAGGAATGCGCTTAGTACTCGCAGCAACAGCGCTGGGAGCTAGGTGTGATTATCTTTGTGTGATGAATGAGGAACCAGAGGCACTGAAGACTCGATAATGGGCCCAAAGGCCAAGGGAAGTGGAAGGTGGCAGGGCCAGGGTCTGAGCCATGACACTTACACTGGGAGCCGGTGACGCCCTGCAAACTTGAATCCCAGGGAGCTAACGGAATGATGCCACAAACCACAAGGTCAAGGGCTGGAGGGGCTTGGGCTGGGGTGGGCGGATGATGAGACCCAAGCCTGGTTCTAGGTACAAGCTTCCAGGCAAAGGCAGAAGCAGGAAGTGCCACGACCCCTGCTTCTCAAAGGAAGCAGGTGACTTCATTGGGAGAGGCCGAATCTTCCCCAACTTAGCTCCAAGAGAAGTTCACCTCCCAATTCCCTACCTATCGGAGCTTGAATGATGGCTGAGGGCCATGTCTGCTGACTACAGACAACGCTGCCTGGGGTGACATGTTGGGTCAACACTCTACAGAGGACATCTTGCTCTGCATGTGTTTGATGGGGAAGGGATCATCATAATGGAGTTTGGGATTTTTCTGGTGGCTTCATTTAGTCGACGGATAAAGCTGGGGAGTTATGCAGCAAAAGCATACAACCTTGTTCTAATCACAAGTCCTCTTAGAAATTCAATGATTTCTGTCTTTCTGTCCAGTCAGAGAGACACCCCCACATACAATATGACCTTGGTCTTGTGGGTTCCCCCAAGCCCCTGCTGAGCTCCACTGTTTCTTTACATTCTTTACATTAAACCTGCTGCTCCAGCTAGGTTGAAAACCACTCCAGGGATGGGACAAAATCTTCTGTTTTGCACATGGTTGGGCTGGGCTGTTATGAGTAGCTGGGCTAGGAGCTGACTTCCAGACTGATGCCCAAAATTCAGAGCTGCATATGCCCCGTGCTCACCCTGGCTCCTTTCCTAACACCAGTCTGACCCCTCTCTGCCATTACTGGGCAGCAGGCTGGGGACAGGGCTGGGCAGAGCATCAGCAAGTGGGGCCAGGCACACAGACGGACAGTCTCTCCCCTGACCCCTTCATACACAAACATCTTTCCTGTGTCTTCTGCTGGTGACCATCGCTCTCCATGTGATGCATTGTGATGCATGCAGTGTAAAAACTTTATATGGGCCCGAAATGAAACTTAAATGGAGAAAGAAGAAAGAACACAGGTCAGGAAAAGCGAGATGGAAAATGTCAGAGAGCCAGAGAGAAAGAAACACAACGAGACTTGGTCACATGGGGACGAATGGAGGCTGGGCCATAGGAGCTCAGACCTCTGGCAGCAGGGCTGAGAAGGAAAGAGGAGAAAGAACATTGTCAAAAACCTGCCAGGTCCTGCCCTCCCTGACAGCACTGGGCCCCAGAACTCAGCAGGCAGCCCAGCCTCTTTCATCTGCCTGGCCCACCAGTGACATTGTCCTCAACGCTTGGCTCTTTCTGCGCCCCTGGCAGGAACTCCATGGCTGGGGTTCAGCTCAGCCCTCGCTCCTCACCCCAGCCTGCACTGAGACACCACTCTCACTTTCCATTTTGTATTGGCCCCAAGCCCTGAGGCGGGCCCTAGTCCCTGGCCCCAAACAGGCTCTCAGGGCTTCAGGATCCCCTACCACGTCCGAGGTCAGGGACTGAGTGAGTGCCCTTCCAGCTGCAGGCAGACAAAACGGGGCGGTGGACACATCGGTCCCAGTAATTCCTGCTAGCCAGCCAGATGGCCACTCGGCGGCAGCCTTTCCCCTCCTTGGGGAGGGAACTCCCTCCTTGCAGCCTCCCCCCTGCACTCTGCATCTCTGCCCTGCGCTCTAACAAGGCCCCGGGTGAGGATCCGTCATAAGCACACTAGCCCGGCCAACCCTACCCCCGCCTCCTGCCAGGGTCTTGAACAGGAGGAGTCCCTCCTGGGCCATAGACCTCCTGCGAGGCCCCACTGCTCATTTCCCCTGGTTCTGCAAACTAGCTGGAGGATGGATGGCCCAGCAGCACAGCCAGAGGCCTCCAGCACGCTCCAGCATTCAGATCTGTGAGAGCCCCAGGAGCAAGTCGCAGGGCACGTTCTTTGCTGGAATTCTCTGGGTTCTTTTTGCAAACAGGAGGAGGAAGCTTAGCGTCCAGAGGACAGACTCTCCAACCCAGGGGAGAGTCCAGAGGGACCGGGCAGGGGCTGGCTGTACCAAGGCTGGTCTCTCTGGGGGGCAGGCAGGGACTGTGCTGACTGGTTCATCAGGCAGTACCAGGCACAGTGCTGGCCAACTCCAACTTGACCGTCGGCACTCCTCAGGCTGCTCACCCTGAACCAGGCACTGGGGACAGGAGCAGAGGCCCCAGAGGTCAGCCCTCCTGCTACCTAGCGTGGAGAGCTGCCTCTAGATGGGTCTCCACCCTCAAGTCTCCCCCTTGTGCCCAGGAGCTCCCACCAAGTCACACACCTGCGGCTACACCTGCCAAGGGATGGTGCCTTTCCCTCAGGTGCACAGAGGCACTTATGGCTCTGAGTCTAGAGTCCCTGCTTCCTCTTCGTGCCCCCTTTGAACATGCTGCTGCCCAAGGATGCTATTCCACCCCTCCCTGCCGAAATAGCCAGTCTCCAGCCCTCCTCTCTGCAGCCCCTCCCACCCCAGTCACGTAGAACACCGCCTGCTTCTGCGAGTGATTTCCAAACAGGAAGGAGCCTCCTGCAAGAGTAAATGGTCCTGAGGCCTTGAGGCCTGCTGGGTCCCCTCGCCTGAGACACGAGAGGACAACCTTCAGGGGAAGGCAGTGATAGGGTTGCTCTCTGAGATGGAGCTGAGGGTGCAGCATGGCCTTGCCCCATCTCAGTTGGACTCTAACCCACCAAGAGCCCATCCCTGACGTCCAGACCTCCTGTGCTGTCCATGACACCTGTTGGGCCCACCCTCAATGGGGGCTGGAACTCTTCACCACCCTTATTTGGGCAGAATCCGGCTATGCGGTTCCATTTGTGGGGTAGTGGGCGTGTGAGCACTCGAATGTCGTTCTATAAGTGTCTGAACTAAAAATAAGGAGAAGCCGCCCTAAGTGTTTGTCACCTGATGCTTGGTCATTTTCATCTTGGAACTTAAATATTGCAGAATGGCTCCTAACTTTAGATCTCATGGATTCTAATGTTTCCAGCCAGAGGAAGGGGCTTCAAGTGTCTAGACAGGCATCCACCCTCTCCTAATGCTGTCAGGAAGTGCCTGCCGTGTGCTCTGGATAGGGCATCCGAGAGCAGCCCAAGACCCCTGTCCTGGATAAAGGAGCTCATGGAGTGAGAAGGGAGACAGAAAGAAAAATCAGAGTGTCATGGGCGATGTCCAGCACCTTCCTGCAAAACTCCGTCTCCACCAGGTAGAGGAAGTCTGAATGGGGACATGTAGGATGGACGCTTGCTGTGTGGCCTGCATGCCTCCCCTGGCCCCTTGGCTGCCAGCAGTCCCCTGGCTTTCCTTTGGGGAACCACCTCCATAGGATTCCCCCAGGGCTGGCTCCAGGATGAATACATGAATACCTGATTGATTAACATATTCCAGCTTCCAGTCAGCAGTGATTGGTTGAGGGGTGGGGCAGATGATCCAATTCAGGCCAGTAAGACTCAACTCAGGGACTTTGAGGGAAATATGGAGAAACAGGAGCGTCTTCTGGAATTGGTAACAGTGGGGCTGAGGGAGGCCCACTGGATGGAGAGAACCTGCTGGGACTGAAGCCCCCACAGAAGAGGGTCAAGCCGAGACCAAGTCTTAAAGATAGATTTTGAGTACCTGAATCCAGCTGTGCATGAAGCACCTCTTCTTGACTTACCAGTCACCTTAGTAAGGAAACACTTTCTTTAGCTTAATCTGATCTGAACTAAGTCACTGTCATCCGCAATCAGAAGAGTCCTGATGACTTGGGTGGCAGGTCCTTCATAAAGCATCACCGGAAATCAGGTTGGCAAGGTGGGGAGGGAAGCAGAGAATGCTGGCTGGAACCAAGCCACTCACAATACAGCCTCTGATAAATCCAGCGAGGATCCACAGGCTAAGCCACCATTGCCCCTCTGCCTGGCACACGCTGCTGTCTTTGATGCAACGCCTTCCTTGTTCCCATGGAAAGTTCTTACTTTCTTATCCTTCAAGACCTAGCACAAAGCCACCTCCTCTGGAAGTCCCCTTTTTCTGGGTTTGCTCAGGATCACCCCCGTCACCTTGTCACTCCTCTGCCCCCACTCCACGTACATTGTCCAGCCTGCCATTCTATGGCACAGAGGACACGCTTCAGGATAAACAGCTTCTCTCCAGGACCAGGATGAGAGGTGAGATTCCTTGGAACTCAGTTTCTCTTCCTGTGAGATGCAGAGAGAAGCTGGAAGGGGAGAACCTTGAACTAACTGGGAAGCGACCCCAAAACCACTGAGTATGAAACCAGAAGTGGCTTCAGGTGATAAGACTGAGTATCCAGTAGTGAATGATACCGCGGGCTCGGGAGGGAGGTGAAGTTCAGCCAAGGAGAAGCGAGGGACCATTGCTGCTGTAACTCTGAGACAGGAAACTCTTGTGGCACCCCCACGGAACACACGTGGCACACACGTGGCTGTCACTGCTGCGGATGTCTCTGTCTCCCCGGCCTGAGGTCCCGGATCGAGTACAGCGCAGTGAGCATCCCGCCTCAGTCCTCTCCTGGGCTGGCCTGGGTGACAGAGCGCTCCAGCTCCCGGCCGCTGCTGGGGGTGCGCTGGGGTCTGACACGGCTGTGACTTGCAGAAACCTCAGGCTCCCCGTCCCCAAGCCCGGGAAGCTGCCGAAACTGCTCTTGCTCCATCTCACCTTCCGGTCTCGTTGGCCGGACTGCGGCGGCCAGCTCGGAGTGAACAGGCCTCGCTGCTCCTCTCCCAGGGCCGGAGTGTTCCCCACTTCCCAGCAAAGCTCCTAGACCCGGGGCAGAGCCCGCACCTGCCGGAGCCATGCATGGTCCAGAGATAGAAAGTGAAAGGAAAACTGAGGACAAAGGGCAGCAGAGCAAAGACGGCTCCGTGGGGCCTCGGTCCATGGCCAGAGGGCATGAGGAGTCAGACCACCAGCTTCGCAAAGCCAGCTCAGCACCCAGCCTGGCCAGCCGTGCGCCCTGACACCCGCCTGAACCTGCCCACTGAGAGGGAATTCCTTGCACGGGGTTCCTGCCACACATGGAAGTACGCAGCCGTCAACCATGTGGGAGGACGGAGGGGGGCCTCCCCCAGCCTGGGAGAGTCAGGGAAGGGCCCCTGGAGTAAGCATTATTTAAATTAAAAACAAAAGGACAAGTAGGACCTAGTGAAGATGGGGGGCTGGGTAATGGGGCCAGGCAGGGCAGGTGTCCAGGCAGAGGAAAAGGCACCAGCAAGGGCTTGGGAATAAAAAAGGCAGCTCAGCGAGTCAGAGCAGTGAGGGGCACCGGTAAACTGAGGTTCTTGGGGTTTTCCAGAGGAGAAGGACGGGACAGCTAGCCAGGACACAGCTGCCCTGAGTGGGAACCAGAGTCCGGAGGCCACCAGGAGGAAAGACAGGCTGACCTGAGGCTCCCAAATGCAGGGGAAAATGCCTCCAGCTTCCAGAAATAGCACCATAATTAAGAGCAAAATAATACTGGTGGGTGACCAGACAGTACCAAAACTTGTGCCCACTTTGTTTTTCCTGCGCAATCTTTGCTAATTAATTCTTAAAGATTCACACACGGGGATTAAAACACTCAGCTATAGAAGCCAAACTGATCAATACCTTTCCAGGCTAATGGAGGGGCTGAAGGCAGGGAGCCGGCTTCGGCCCAAGGTAGAACCAAGGGCACTCCAGGGATGGGGAGCGGTCCCAAAGGGGCAGGGCCCCCCAAAGCGTCCCAGGCCCATGCTGGCCAGCAGGCGGTGGCATCAAATGCTGTCACACCTAGCAGGTGACCTGCTGAAACCTTGAGGGAGCTGGAGGTGCTGGAAGCCAAGGGGAGCTTGAGGCTGCCCTGGTCGGGTGCATGGTGGTGTCCAAGGAGGGCAGGACCAGAGGACCCACTGTGGGGCCACCCAGCTAACCCTGCACACACTGGTTAAGGGGGTTGGTCCATCTTTGACTGTCTCCAGGGGGGCATGAATGCTTCATATGACTGACTCCATGGTGGGTAGAAAAGAATGACACTTGGAACCAGAGCATCTGAATCTCTATTCTGCCACTGCTCATCCAGTGGCCTGGGGCCAGACAGGACATGACTCACAGCTCGGTGGCCACTCTGCAACGCGGCTGACCAGGAAGCCTCCTTACCACACACAGAGTGCTGTGAGGATCCCCTGAAGGTGTGTGGGCACGGACCGAGGTGCAGGAGGGAACTCTCCCCCACAGGCCCTCAGCCACCCACTTGAGATGGTGTCCTCAGCTTTCCAGAGGCCACGTGAGATGCGGGGAGCACTGCATGCCAGGAAGCGGCTCTGGGCAGGAACTCAGGTCAGAAAGATTGTCCTCCCCGTC